ATTTTGTACAAAATGTGTGCAGGCTACAAGATTCAGAATATGGGTTATAGTTGACATTTTGGCTCTATACAGGAGTGTCTATAAGAGGCTAAGACGCTGAGCTTGTTGATCAGAAAAGTCGGCAGTTCAGCGGTTCGAATCCCTAGCACCGTGTAACAAAGTGAGCTCTCGTTACTTGTCCCAGCTTCTGCCAACCTAGCAGTTTGAAAGCATATAAAAATGCAAGTAGAAAAATAGGGACCACCTTTGGTGGGAAGGTAACAGCATTCCATGAGCCTTTGGCATTTAGCCATGCCAGCCACATGACCACGAAGCTGTCTTTGGAAAGTGCTGGCTCTTTGACTTTGAAACAGAGATGAGCACCACCCCCTAGAGTTGGGAACAACTAGCACATATGTGCGAGGGGAACCTTTACCTTAGGAGTGCCTAGTTGGTAGAATTTTGTTCCTTCATTTTCCCACTAGTAACTTCTAGAGTCGTCCCACAATCATTGTGTCAAAAAACAGTAACAAGCATTTACATCACTTTAGCAAACCTAGGGACTCTCTTAGTTATGAGTGGAGAAAATATCAATATAGTATTTATATTGACTTATAAATATAGTATTTATTTTTATAAATGCAATATAGTAGTTATTATTTAAACAGAATTAAAAAAAACATTGCTTGTTGAACAAGCTATAGGTTTTATGGAAAGCCAAAAAAATCCCCAAAAACCACTTTCTGGCTTAGGTTTATGAGTTAGCTGGATTACCAATTGTTGTCTGAGGTCACTTTATGAGACCTTTGTGCCAGTTCTAAAATTGAAGTTCTGCAGCCTCCATAATACAGGATCTGCTGTGTTGAAGCACTTAGAGAATTTGTTTCAGGATGTGTCTGACCTAAGCAAAGTACATAAAATTATCTGCTACAATGTCCTACCTGTCAACTGCTACCTCAGCTTCAACCACAACAATATACGAGCACACAGTAGATATAAAGTTATGGTAAACCACTCCAAACTCAATTGCAGAAAATAGGACTTCAGCAACAGAATTGTCAATGCCTGGAATGCACTACTTGATTCTGTTGTTTCTTCCCAAAACTTTAACCTTAGACTGTCTACTGTTGACCTCACCCCATTCCTAAGAGGTCTGTAAGGGTGTGCATAAGCGCACAAATGTGCCCACCGTCCCTGTCCTAATGTCCCTTTTTATTTGTATCCTTTTCATGTATTCAAAAACATGTTCATACTTATATATGTTATGTAATATATGCTTGATGAAATAAATAAAATTTTTAAAAAATGTGCTGCATTATCCTGAAACTGGTAAAAAAATGTTTTTAAGACTTTGTGGAGCTTATAAATGATGTACATCCCTATTTAGAGGAACCATAAATTTACCATACCATCTGTTTATCAAATGCAACAAATGGATAGAATACATGTGTCATTCATAAAACCAGAATCTTAATGGAGGAAAAGGAAAATATAAAACTTTCTAGTCTCTTCCTGAAGAGAGCAAAGAAGAAAGTAATCTGCACTTCAGGGGCGCTGGAATTCCACAAGATAAATGCCACCCTCCTAAACTGGATGTTTTTCCAAGGGATCATGTGCAATAAATCCTCTGAAGATAATTGGAGTTCTCAGTTTGCTATGTGAGGAAAACTCCTTTAGGTAAACTGAACCAAATGTATTTAAAGGTGTATATGTCAAAACAAGCACTTTGAACAAAACCAATAAAGACTGTAACCAAGCTAAGCCAGCAAATCTGGAGACTGACACAGTGGCCAAATGATTGGAAATAGTCAAAATACATTCTAATACTGAAAAAAGGGGAGTTAACAGAGTGTGCAATATTTTTAGTCTCACATGCTAGCAAAATACTACTTAGGATCATCCAATGTAAATTAGACTTGTATCTGGATAAAGAGATAGCAGATTTCCAAACTGGCTTTAGAAAAGGCTAATGAACGTTAGACATTATAGCTGATGTCCACTGGATAATTGAGAAAGCCAAAGAATGCCATAAGAAAGAAATGGGCGTGGCCAGTTTGACATCACTTGTGTCGGGAGTCCCTCTGGCGGGCCTAGCGCTCTAACAGCGAAAACAGCCCCCCAAGCTCCATTTTCAGCTATGACGGCCTCCTGCAACCATCTGCCAGCAAAAATGGAGCTTGGAAAGGCCTCAAACAGCCCTCCTGAGCTCCATTTTCGGTGGCAGAGGCACTGTGGGCAGTCCTGAACTGTTTCCATGGTGTCCCCGCGAGCCAGATCTAAGTACCTCATGGGCCTTGAGTTTTGATACTCCTGATCTAGAACCATATAATAGTGAATGGGGGAAAATCTATTTTTTTCATCCCTTCCCTAGTTCCCTGTCTTATGAAGATATTGAGCATTTCTACAAAATATCAGAAAGGCATGTATTCAAAAAGTAATTCTAATTCAGAGTGATATTGTTCAGCTTGGTTGCAAAACTATTATTAGTCTGCTGTTGTCCCCAGGGACACCTCCATTCTTAAAATCACATCACCGCTGATGTGCTCTGTAATGGATGTTTTGACTGGCAATTTATAGCTGTGATCCAAAAAGTGGTTCAGTTAGAGAACTGCTAATATACCTTGGGATGAAATTAATTAAAGGAGAGGGGAGTCCAAAGTATTTATTCAAGAAGAGAGGTTTGTGGCATTTTTCCAGGATTCATTGCTCTGCCCTGACTATAAACATCCTGCTGTGTACAGGTAATACTGACTCTGCATGAGGTATGAAATGAAATTAGTTTGTACTGAGATACAGCAATATTCCAGCTCAGAAGATGCCTGTTGAATCTTAGTGTATATAGCATGAAGTTGAACATGGTATGATAATATGCTGAATCAGACCATTGCTTTGCACCTTGCTCAGTTTTACATTTACATTCATTAGAAGTAACTCCCCAAAGTTTTAGAATGAATGATTGCCCTGAAATTAGAGGAACCCAATCCAGAATCTTTTACAAACAAAATGCAATATTTCTTTATTCAAATTTATTAGCTGCGCAGTTCCAATGGACATGCTGTACTATTGTTGTACAACCAACAATACTTTTTCAAAATATGTCCACCTCCAAATTCAGGATCCAATTTGGATCTTAAAATGTACTTAAACCTTTAAGAATGCATATGTATATATTAGTTTTACTATGTTGTGGATTACACGTGTATTTTGCCTGAACTGTTTGTTTACACTTTTTTAAAAAGTTTCAAATCAGTTGGTTGAACTGCCAAACAAATAGAGCTGAAATCTGCCAGAAAGATACTTTCCTGCTTCATTAATGAAATGTGATTTAAACTTATCAAGACAGAGATGAAAACGAAATAGGCACTAGAAAGATAAAATAGCTATGAGAACAACCCCCAAGCTCTGTGTAAATATCAAGAGGCTAAGTTAAATGTAGTTGGGCCAGTTAACCAAACACACTTCTGATGTTCACATAACATATTATTTTATGGTTTAAGTTATGGCTTGCTTCACATAACATGCTAACCAAATCGATTATAGCCTAGCCCATCCATATCATCACTATTGTTTTATATTATGAAAGTCCAGAAGGTATAATGCTAAAACATCTGTGGGATGTTTGATAACTCAAGGAGATTGCACTGCTTTTTATTTGCACTGTATTTTCTAGAGAACCATTTTTCTGCTTTATAAAGTAATAGAATCACCCAATTAATTTTGTTTACTTATTAAATTTAGAAACTGCCCATTTTATCCACAGAGCGAGTTTTAATGATAAAAGGAAAACCTTCCCCGCTGTTTGTTCAGATTTAGAAGCCATATTTTTAAGAGAAATAGAAAGAATACGTTTAGTTGGATGGGATCAAGCTGAGAGGCAATGTGATCCTTTCCATAGTAGTAGTTTAGTTACCTTAAATAAAAAATAAAAAACAAACTGCTATTTAACTTCAACTGCTAAATAACTTCAAAGAGTAATTTAGCTTGGGAATGACATTTGATAATACAGGTTGTCCTTGACTTATAAACATTTGCTTAGTGACTGTTTAAAATTATAATAGCACTGAAAAAGGGGATTTATTTTTCATACTTATGACCAGCATCCTCATTGTCATGTGATCAAAACTGATATGCTTGGCAACTGGCATGTTGCCATGTATTTATGACTGTTGCTGTGTCTCGGGGGCATGTGATCCACCTTTTGCGACCTGACAAAGTCAATGTGGAAACCAGATTCACTTAACAACCATGTCACTAATATAACAACTGCAATGATTCACGTAACATCCATGGCAAGAAGAGTCATAAAATGGGGCAAATTCAATGAACAACTGTCTTACTTCATAACGGAAACATTGGGCTTAATTGTGGTTGCAAGTCAAGGATTATTTGTAGTCCAAGAGAGTCTGGGGTCATGGAGGGTGAGGTAGGAGTAGGGGTAAATGTAGCGTATGGGTGTAGGGTAAGCTTTTGCTGGGGAAGATGGCATTTTTTTATAGCAGCTCCCAGTTTTGCTTGTGGAGTAATGGTGGTTGTAGCAAAGATGCTCTTCTCCATCATAGCCTCAAGGAGACCAAACATTGAACTGATCTCTAAACTCCTTGCTCTCCCCTTAGCACGCTGCCCTTCCCCCATCTTCCTCCACAGAGCTTCTCCTCAAGGCAAATTTCCGGCTGACGGAGGATCAAATATGTCCAGTCACTTTTCCTCCTCCTCCTCTGTCCAAGACATTTCCCAGAGTTGTTCTTACAAACTAAACTAACAAGGCACTTCCCTCCCCTCCATTCAAGTTCAGTTTTCCAGTAATGGTGCCTGTCTCTTTTGCTTTGTTCAGCTTTGCATATAAAAACTCACAGTAGCTNGCCCAAGATTTCCCCTCTATGTTTCAGTGGAGAAGATAACCTAATGCCAATCATGTTGATAGGTGTCCAAAGGTCATCTTGGAAATTGACTGTGGACTTTTTACTTGAGGACCCAAAAAAAAAAAAAATTCCCAAGAGGCCCAGTGATCTTGTGTCATGAAAATTGAGCATAGTACTTTGCAACTGGTGATTTTAAATACAGTCCTGTTCGTATCATCCGTGCAAATATCGCATAACTTCTTTAATCAGTGCTTTGCATTGCAATGATTTGTGGGCCTCTTTTTTTAATCATTGCATTCTGATTCATGATAAATAAAGTGTGACCCACATCAGCTTAGTTTAGAAAACAATGCTTAAAAGGCTTTCCAAAGAGCATTACATATTTATTAAGCACGTAGTGCATCGACAAATGGTAACTTGCCTTTCCTAAGTATATATAAATTGTTTTCATAGGTATTCAGATTCTGCCATTTCAGATTTCTCTGCTCCAGTTGTAACCAACAAAATATTTAAGGCTACTTTCCTGGGAATTATCTCTTATCGATTTCAAGATCATATGTTTCTGCATAGATAATGGTAGAATTATGTCTGTTAGTGTCTCGCCTTGTAACTTTGTTCTCATTGTTTTCTTTGCTGTCTCTTGTATCCAAGGAGCAGGCAATTATTTTTATTATGTTTTTATTGGTTTAAAAATTTTACAGTCTGCAGTTCAATATATTGCAGTACATTACAATAATGGTTAAACACAACAAGAGCATGAAATACAACAACAACAACAAAAGAAGTACTAAAAGCTTAGAACTCAAAAATAATATGATTCCCTGATGAGTCTTCCTCTGCACGGACAATGTATTGGAGACTTTACTTATATTACTTTTTTTGAATAAGATACATTTTGTTCTAATGAGATGTTTTGACTAATTAACAATCCAAAATCACTTGGATAGATTCAATAAATATTCAGATTTCCAAGAACACTTTTTATCTAGCCTCTTATAGAAAAAGAGGACCAACTAACTTCATTTGATCTTCATTAATTGAAAGAGACGATAAAATAAAGCCAGGGAGAGCTTTGAAGAGGGTAACAAACAATGTTGATGGATCAAACTTGAAAGAAGCAGGGGTTAATAAATTTAAACCAAAGTATAATTCAATGGCAGGAGATGCTCATGGGAAAACTCCCCCAACATGTAATGTTATAAACATAATTTCAAACAATTCCAATGGTGGAAAGAAAGTAGAAGGTATCAGAAGAAGCCACTGAGTCTACAATACAGGAAAAAAATAGCAACATAACAAAAAATGGTTTAATATGCTATTACATTAGCATAGTAGTTGTTACTTTATCCTACCTTTTTAATTTTGGGGGTAAATTCAAGGAAGCAAACACTACTCCTGCCTCTTATTCTCCCCACTAAACTTTTCCTTGTGGTAATTTCTTGTTTATTATTTATTACATTTCTACACCACCCATTTCACCTAAGTGGATTCTGGGTAGTTTGCAAAGGAATTACAGAAGAATTGAGTTTGGAAATAATCTATTGGCTGCTACATTTTCTTTTATGAAATATTGTGCAATTTTCCACAAGACACTATAGTGAGTCCACATATTTTATGTGGTTTGGTCTTTAATGTGGCACCAAGGGGATTTCTGCAAGGACTTACCTGTGGTTTTTTTTTAAGGATTCTATTTCAGCAAAGGCATGCATAAAAAAAGAAAAGTATTTGCTACATTTCTTTCCTTATAAAGTGCATAAAGATTTCTTTAGGAGAGGGAAAACTAAGCATGTTAATGTGGAATGAAAATTTCCAGGAAAAGCCAGGGCTGTAGGCTGGATTGAGATATTGATTTAACATTCTGAGAGAAGATCGTGGCAAACTATTGACCTATAGTTGACCAAAACCCAAAGATGACTATGAAGTCACCAGAAATCGGGCTTTATCTTAAAGATGCTGGAGCTTTTATGGTAAGACAATGTAGACTGTGGATTGAAAGGACAGCAGCTCTTGCTTTAGCTTCAGAAAACTTCACATTTTTGTTACATGCACTTGTGTTTACCTTGTTTAGCATGTTTACAACAATCAGCTTTTTCTATTGATTCTCCTGTACCCAGTTATGTTTGTTGTGTTGATTTTACTTGACAGTTTCTGATGGTATGTTTCCAAAACATACTAATTATTATTTGTTCAATGTATGTACATGTTCTCTGACCCCCCAAAAGCGGGCATTACTTTCCTGAACCAATTTTGTATTTGTTTTATTGTCAGAGAAGAAGGGCTGCTCCTATAATACTGTAGGGTTTCCCTTCATCCTTCTACAGGTGATAAATACATTTCCTTTCTTTTCCTTTCCTTCCCCCCCCTTTTTTCCCTTTCCATTTTCCCCCTTTCTTTTCCCTTCCCTTCCCCACTCTACCCTACCTTACCCTACCCTCTCATTTGTCTCAAATGATGAACAGGAGGGTTAGATTAGAAGACCACCAAAGTCCCTTTCAACCCTATTACTCTATGTTCTATGAGACCCTATTGCTGCTATTCTGCTGTTGTCTTCTAAAGAACTGGAGCCACCTGGGCTGTGCCAGTGTCTCTCAAAATTGTCCGTACAATAATGTAGCATTATATTGCTCAGCTGGCAATGCTATAGGTATCCTAACTCTGCCTATTGCTCGATTTAATGCAAGTCTGGAAAAGCAAAACAGTAAATAATGGGTACAACTCTACCCACCACTCACTCCCAAACAGAACAGAGCAACCTGGAAGCTAACCTGTGTTCTCCTGAAAAATAAGGAGGGAGGGGGGGGGAGAAATAAAAATAAAAAATAGCAGCATTGCTTCTAAACATCCTTTGTGATTTTAATCTGGGTTTGTTGTTTTTAGCTTTCTTCAACTAAAATAACAACAGAGCAGAGTGCAGAGGAAGAGCACAGAAAGGAATCTAACAGAGGAGATGTAGCCAGAATCCTGGAGCCAGGCCCATGCAAGTCCTCCTCCAGTTGTACAGTTGTAGGGTGGATTGTCAGCTAATTAGTGATAGGCAGAAGAGGGTGGATAGCAAAGCCAGAATAGATATAGAAGAATTGTTTTTTCTTGTAAGATGCTGCATACAAAAAATCAGAACAGCGCCTCTGGCAGTGAATCAGCAGATGTAATGGAAGCATGCTAAGAATCAACTTTGGGCGGAGAAATGTATGTATTCTTGCAACCTTAAGCTAAAATACGAAACATTATGTGGCTTACGTATAATGGAGTCCTAGTAGCTGGTAAAGGCACAAGCTGTCAGTGTAGCATAATTGAGGGTGAACTACGGAACATATAATTCCTAGGAAGGAGTCTACTGGTATCTATACTGAATTTTTTAAAGGAAACTGTTTGGCACCATATAATACATAAAATGGTATCACTTGCATTTTTACAGTATACTAAATATCTTTTTGTATTTGTTGGCAATGCTTTGTGATACTGATTTTTTTTTCTTCATGCAGATTAGGAGTGATACATCCATTCTCTTGGAAGAGATGATTCCACTTATTAAGGCCAAGGTTTCAGAAATGAACAATGTCTACACAAAAGTGGATAAACTAGAGGTTTGTTGCTTACATTATGCAAAGTTGGAACAGAAGTCTATGCTTTCAAGTAGGTTCTGTTCTGTTGAAGTATTTAAAAAGATAGTTACCATTAAGGATCATCACACTGTTATCAGAAAACAGGTGGGGAAAAAAGTGATGGATAGATTTTTTTTAAATTAGAATTCACTAAAAGCAAATGTAAATAATGTGACATATACCAATACCAATTTTGGATAAGTTACACTGTGAACCACATTACACAACAAAACACAGACATGGAAAGAAATTGTGTATGAATTAAAAAAAGGAAATATGGCTAACTCAGGTTTCAGTATTTAATATATCTCTTTGTAGTTTTCTACCCTTGTAACCAGTTTTCTAACTCTTGTAACCGCCACATCTTACTGCTACCTTGTGCCTTTTAATATACTCACATCTTCCTTTTTGAGGATCCCAGCTCAATTCAATGGGACTTTCTAAGTGTCCCATTTTCTATCAGGCACTCCCTATTCACATGTTTGTTTCACTGTATAATTCAGTCCTGATTTATTGTCCCAAAGTTGCTTTTTCAAGAGGCAACTGACTTACTGGTTTTCTTTGAAAATGTTTTGCTTCTCATTCTGCTTCTTGGATAAGAAGTGAAACATCTTCAAAGAAAAAACAGAAAGTCCAGATGCTTCTTGGAAAAGCACCCTTGGGACAACCATGACCTGGATGAATGAGCATCTCCATAGATATTCCTCATTTATTCTTTCTATAGGTTCAAGACACATCAATGTATGAATTTCCCTTGAACTCTTTCACTTAAGTACTAATATAATATTTGCTTCTATTCTATTCTTAGAGAGTCACTGTAATTCCCATACAAGTAGTCCTTGACTTACGACCACAACGGAGCCCAAATCTCTGTTATTGAGACATTTGTTAAATGAGCTTTGCTCCATTTTACAGCTTTTCTTGCCACAATTGTTAAGTGAATCTACTGCAATTGATAAGTTAGTATCCCAGTTGTTAAGTGAATGTGGCTTCCACATTGATTTTGCTTGTGAGAAGGTCGCAAAAGGTAATCAAGTGACCTTGGGTCATAGCAATGGTCATAGATATGAACCAATTGCCAAGCATCTGAATTTTGATCACATGATCATGAGGATGCTATAAAGGTCATAAGTGTGAAAAAACAGTCATAAGATACATTTTTCAGTTATGTTGTAACTTTGGTCACAAATTAATTATAGCTGAATTGAAAAGCCATGTTGCAAATTTTATATATGCTGGCAATATAACTTTTCACTATTATTTTACATTTTGTTTTCAAATAGAAGGAAATATTGATAAATTTTATTTTAAAATACTTTAAAAATTACTCTCCTCACTTTCTCTGTTATATGTATCCAATATACTAAGTGAATCTGTTTAGACCTGAAAGTTATTAGTTGGTAACCAAGAAAAATGACTCAAAGGCTATCCTTCATAAATGTGGATTTCTCTCTTTTTAAAAAAAATATATATTTAAGATATAACTACTGTACCTTGGGAAAATGGGAATAATACAAACTATAGTTGACAACATTCCTATTCCTTTTTTTAAAGTTGCCANATGAGCAGATGGCAGATTGTCTTAGCAGACAAAATATAGCCAGAGCCTCTTGATGCTGATTTTAAGGATGATGTAAATTTCTATTATGAATTTACAGTCAGTTAAATAGTGCTTACGAGTTAATGAATTTGTTGCACTTCAAATGCTTGTTACAAGTAGAGGTTCAGCCATTCATGATCCCCTGAGGAATTATCAAGAAGAATGGAGGTTCAGAAGCAACGGGATAGTCTACTCGTGTTAGTGTTGTCAAATTGGGAAAAAAATTAAAGGGATGTACAAAACAGATTCCTTTGGTACTACTATTTTTTATGTGGATTATAGCAAGAAGCATTTATTAGTAATGAACTTGGCTCTGTATTAGTATCTTATTATCTGAGTAAAAGCCAGATTTTTAACTATGGCTATAAAAGCAATATTTTGAATAACAAATCAATGAGCTGGTCCAGACTATTATGCAATATTCATCTAATTATTTTACTTATTATATTTTTATTCAATACCAAGTTTTTTGTAATGTGCATATTGTTATGATTATGTTTCCAACTTGCTTTGGGGCCTAAATAAAATTGATACTGTTTTCCTGTACATTTGCATTGCATATTTAGACTAATTATTTTTAAAAATTAGAATTTGATTTCACAAAGAAACTTCACTACCCCTAAAGACAGCAGCATAAATTAATACAGGACTGAATCAGGGTTGCATTTTGCACTTGTAATTGATATTCATGCCCATAACTTGCACAATAAAACTAAGGTACTTTTCTTTCCCCTAAATCTGGTAATGATTTGCAAACCTAATGCTTTTGGGAAAGGTAAAACAGTAAGATGATTGTATTTTGTGTCTGGGGAGGGTTGGCTTTCACAAAAAATTCCATATATTCTTGGCATATCAAATTAGCACAAACAAAAACTACAGAGGTCTGCTGTACAGCATTTACAATGCCCTAAGCGGTTGTAAGATTTGTAGGTATTTGGAATAAGTTCTTAGATGCGATTTGAATAATATTATCATAATTATCTTCGTGATGCTTTCTTCTTAGTTTTTTTTTCCTCCTCCGTATACATTAAGACAGACTTTATTACAGTATGTTGTGAGCAAATTCTTGCAAAAATAATCTGTTGAGGGCTGCATTGTCCACTGATAAGTGGAGTCAAAATAAGCAATAGTGATACACATTTTCTTTCTCCTCACATATCTATTTGAGATAGGGTAGGTTGTTCATGCCAGCTGTATGAATGTTTTGCTTGGTAGATTGGTAGATTTATTATAATTTATAGGCCGCCCTTTTCCCTGAGGGGACTCAGGGCGGCTTACAAAAACAAAACAGATTCCTTTGGTACTACAGCAATGAGCTCTGGAAATTAAAGGTTCTCATAAGAAGAACCTAATAATTATTTATTCAATTTATATAGCTGGCCACCTCAGCTATGATTTTGTTTATACAATTTATAACCACCGGTAGCTAATCAGAAAAAGAGGGATCCTTGATGGTCTCTGAGCTTGGTTGTTTTCTTGCAGTCATTTCATTACCCAAACCAGCACTAATGATGTTACCTAGTTTGGTAATGAAACATCTGCAAGAAAACAACCAAGCTCAGAGAGCACCAAGGATCCCTCATTTCAACCCTGAGCTACAAATATTCTCCTTTATTGGAATCTGAAAATATTTTTTCCCCTCTAGCCAGAGACTGCCTATGAGTTTCAGAATTTGGGGAAAAATTAATCTGAATTATTAGCCACTCCAAGGCAAATCAGTAGGTCAAGGAATCATGGCATGTTTGTTTGAATAGCAATACTGTTAATTACACATAACATAGCTTTTTTTTTTCAAAGAAATCTAAACCAGTCTTATAAATGAATCCTATTTGAGAGTCTCAGTCATTAGTCAAGCGTATTATTGATCTCCGTGACATTTTGATCACTGCCTCAAAAACTCTCAAGTTTTTGTATTTCTTGTTTTAAATCCAGTAACTATTTTTTAATTCAAGCATCAAATGTGTCTTTTTTCTGCCTTGTTAGGTTTTCAGTTCAGTTTGATTTGGTATTTGCTCACCTTCCAAGAGCATGCTTTGTGATCCTTACTTAGCATTTTCTCTTACTTATTCCAATGTCTAATCGATGTTTTCATGATCAGCATCTTATATAATTTTTCTTAAATCATTTTGTTTGCTAAGTTAGATCGATTTGCCCTGTATGCACATAAACAACTTTATAGGGTAATAAAATGTCAATTGAACTTAAAATTTAGTTCCGTATAATGATATGGTATATACTCTGTAAACTAGCTGCTGTTCTGGTATCCTGTCAGACACTGCATCCTATATAAGAGATGGTAACTTTAAGGGTAAAGACTTGTGTTCAAAACAAAAATTAAAATTATTTTGAGAAACCGCTATCAGAGTTACACTTGCAAGCCAAACTGTTATGCAATCTTCTAAAGTATTTTTATATAAATTGCAAGAATGTCAGAATCACTGTCTTTATTTGGTCTCCCCATTATTGCTAAGTATCATATGATTTAACCACACTTGGATTTATAATTCCAGGAAGTTTCAATAGTTCTGACATGAAAATAGCTTTTAAAAAAATGTATGAGTAAAAAGGGATTGGATAGATTCAGGGAGATTCAGTGTTCCCTCTGGCATGTCTCTAAATATTAGTTTCAGGAGAACAGTGGTATGAGAGAGTTGAGTTTATAGCTTCAGATTGTGGCGATTTCAGAACAGTGTTTCTCAGCCTTGGCATGAGAAGATGGATTGACTTCAACTTTAGAATTTCCCAGCTAGCATACTGTAGCAATAACAAGAGATTACAACAATAACAAGAGATTACAAGGCAGATGCACTATAATAAATTACATTCCAAATTGTTCAGCCAACCTCAGTGATACACATAGTGGCTTGATTGGAAAGGCTTAGAGATCTGTTTATTAGAAAGAATATTTATTTATTTATTTTTCATAATCCAGTCATCCAGCATAATAGGAATGAGTTACTAATAAGACATGAAATCAAAGTTTCAATTTAAGGCTATATTTCTTGAAGTCCACCTATCTCCAAGCCACCATGGTTGAGTAATGTTGGTTTAAGAAAACCTTGAAGAGTCAAAGGGAAGCAGAGACAATCAGTTGCTAGCCTACATAAATGCTATTTCTCTCTGCTGCCTAAGAAATGAAGCCGTTTAAAAAATGTTCATTGCATAAGTGATGGATTCTACGCAATTGGAGGGTTAATAACTATTTTAGGAAGTAGATGATGATCCTGGCAACAAAAGCAGTTTAATGTCAAGGGATTCCATTTCCAGGTTGTGTTGCCACTAAATATGAATATGGATTATTTTTGGATATGCGTGTAGGAGTAAGAGCTTTCCTAGTCTGCCTGGAAAAGGCTAGCTAGGATTATTATTGTTATTTTGGGGG